ATTTAAAAAAAAAAAAACAAAAATAAAAAATCAATTCAAGCCACATTGGAGGCCTCAAATTCGAGGTCTCACTCTTTTTCTTTATGAAAAAGTACCCTTTTTTTTGATAAACCAAAGTGTAAGCAAGCAATTTATTCTCTTTTTTTTGGTCCTTTTATATTGATATACTTTGGTACTACATATAGAAAATGATTGGCCACAACTGGTCGTGTCCGGTCATCACGGTCAAGCACTCGGCCGACTCATGTCCTAGGCGACTCAAGCAATGGCTTTAGTCCCCATATTGGATGAGTCTCCAAAATTTTCTCCGTCATTTTTTAATTTGGTTTAAAGATCCAACAAAAAAATACTTCCCTTACCCAAAAGAAAGGATCTGTTTAATTTGGTTTTGAAATCAATTTTCAAAGATAAACTTTCTAAAAGAGTTTTCAAATTTTTAAAAGTTGTTTGATTATATATTTTAAAAATAGTTTTGTAGTTGGAGTTCTATAATTTGAGATGATTTGTATTTTTTTTTTGTAGATGAATAGATGGATGGACAGAAAACATGATTGATTGATGTGTAGGATGTGAGAGAATGAGAGTGAGAGAGAGAGAGAGAGATAGAGGAAAATGATTAATTGATATGTAGGATGTGAGAGAAAGATAGAGGAGATAGAAAAATTTATTAAAAACAACTTTGAAAAAATTATAAAATCAAACAAATTTTAGTTTTGAACTCTCAAAATTTGATTTGAAAGTGAAACAAGCCCTAAGAAATTCATTTTTTTATCAAATCCCAGCCAAATTATCTTTGTCCAAGGGTCTTCAATTGTAAAAATTGAGAAAAATCTTCTTTATCAAGAGGCCCAAAAATGAATTTTATTCTTTGAGTAATGGTACATTATAATAAATAAATAAATAACTTCATTTTCTGAAGGATCAATAAATAAAAACTTCATATTCAAAGCTCAACTAAAAAAATTATTATCCAAAAGTGCTCTCAATATCAATGCTTAGAATTTTAATTACAAGAAGGTCAAATTGAAACCGTCCTGTATTTTAGTCTTTGTGTCATTTTGGTTATTATAATTTCAATTGGTTTGATTTTGGTCCTGAATTTATGATTTTGTTTTAATTTCTATGAAAAATATGCATATTTGGCAAGTTGATTAAAAGCCAACTTTTTGACTTTTTTACTTTTTTTAGTTACACCAGCTCTGTACTTTTTTGTACATTTTTTTCAAAAAAAACCAAAAAATTAAAATTTTAACTTTTAACCTACTTTCCAAAAAACTAGCTTTTGATTAATTCCACCAAGTCCTTATTAATTCCAAAAAGATGGCTTTTGATTAATTCCATCAAGTCTTTGTTATTCGTTATTTTGATTTTGTTGAGTTTCATGAAATTTTTTAAAAATACTTCTTTTGTGTTATTGATTTTGAATGACATTAACGTCAGGGATTAAAATGTAACAAATCACATACTTTGAGAACAAAAGAGGAACAATTAAAAATTGGGACTAAAATATAGTATAACGTATCCTTTGAAGATCATTAGTGTAGTTAACCCTCTTTAAATTACATTTTTTTTCTCAAAACATTTAAGTAGTTTGAATTAACAATTATAAGATAGAGAACTACAAATAAACTCCCAAAGAAGGAAAGAGATACCCAAGAGGACTACAAGGCGAATAGGACCCTCACATAGGTAGGAGGTATCAACCTCTTTACCTCTTAGTACAGTGGAAGAGCTCTAGTCAATGGGCTAAATTCTATTTAATGTCAAGTGTAGGACAAATGTTGTGAAAATTTAAACGCCATATTTCAAGTTAAATTGGCTTTTGTTTTCTAAACTAGATTCCAAGCTAGTAAATTGTTTTATTTTTAATTTTCTTTTTTGTCCTTTGATACACTTTTTGTATATCTAAATGTATGGAACAAGTAATTCGTAGTCCCTTTTCTCTAAATCAGATTGCAAGCAAGTAATTTGTTCTCTCCTCATTTTTTTCCTAAATCAAAATGCAAGCAAGTAATATATTCTCTTCTTTTTTGTCCTTTGACATACTTTGTTTCTATATAAATATAAGGATTGGGAGGTAATATGGAGTACCATACTGTCATTGATCTTCTTGCTTTCGAGTCATCACAGGCTACTATATAGAGGTACAAAATAGTGTTTTTCCATTTTTCTTTTAAGAATATGTATATACATTTATATTTTTTCTTTTTAATCAGTTGGCAAGTTGGCATTTTCTTACTTCTATTTTTCAGTTTACATGTTATCCACAATAAGAATTTGATATCATTGCAAGAGTCACCAAGTGAGATTCTAACTTCTATAAAGTTAATTTTGATTTGTCCTACATTATCCTTATCTCTATATTCATAATGCCTTAACAATGTTGTTTGTTAGAAATGTTTTTTGAGGTTTGAATATTTTGCAAAATAATGTAGAAATAATTTATATGGTAGCTTCAAATGAAACTTCTTACTTGTGAGAGTTACTTGTAGATCCCTTGTTGTGGTTCCCAACGTTGCTGAGCTCGTTTAAGACCTCATATTTGATTTTCCAACAGGTAGATACTCACATAATTAATGTTGAGAGAGGGTTGTCTCGTGCTAGTCAGCCCCTTCTATCTATTTTACTAATTGAATAATCTATCGATTTATAACTATAAGAAATTCTAATTTATACACACTCTTAAAAATAGTGTACTATATGCGCTCTTAGTTATACTATTTTCTTATTTAGTTATGACATTGCATTTTTCCCGACCAATTTTGCCTACTAACTTTTATTTAGTCGTAGAAAGTTTTCATTTGGCCACTAAATAAAAATTTGCTAGGCAAAAGTTTGGAGTTTTGCCGACTAATATTTTTTAGCTGCCAAAATATAATTTTCTCTGACTAAAATTGAAATTTGGCTGGTAAAAGTCGAAGAGGAAAAAAAAAAAGCTGGAATACAAAAAATTTTGGCGACTAAAATAATTTGGTCGCAATTTATAAAACTACGTCCTTTTGATGGTTCTTTAACTAAATTGAAGAAAATTACTTACCAAACAGTTTGTAGAGGAAAATTGCCCAATATCACTCACCAAGGATCCTCTAGAGTGAATTTTTAAAACTCTTTATACGGTATGTACTGCGCACTAGTCCCGCGCATCACTCCTCATACGCACGGACCTCATTGTCGATTCTCTTGCTCAATTGCAGTCACCAAAGTCACTTCTCCTTCGTCATCACAGTTGACGGCATCGTTTCTTCAAGCAAGCATCAGCAGTGCTTCGAGAAGTTAACGGCTTCCTTTGTTATGTATGTATTTCTCTCTCTCAATCTTTGTATTTGTTTTCCATTACTCCTCTTACTCACATGGTTGCTCTCTATTTTTGCACCTAACAGCACCACGAACACCATTTTTCGGGCACTAGTAGTTCCCCTATCTTCAAACAGCCCCGAGATCAGGTATGGTCCTCTCTCTCTCTCTCTCTCTCTCTCTCTCTCTCTCTCTCTCTCTCAATTTCTCTATTTTCCTTTGTTTTCCCTACTTTTGAAAACCAATTTGTTTGTTTTCCCTAATTTTCAAAACCCTAATGAGTGGATGTTTGAACGGATGGCCTCAAATCTTACTCTCTAGACAATTCAAAAAACAAAAAATGATATATATATATATATATATGTATATGTATATGTATATGTATATTCTTGTTTGTTCTAGTTTGGATGACAGAGCACATGCAAGTATACCATATGTGCTTCATATTATTTGCTGATTAGTTGGAAATTTTCTATATCACTGTTTGTATGATATGGGTTATCATACAAGTCCATGATCTATAATTTTTTTTTTGATTTATATTAACTTGCATGTAATTATATATAAAGAGGTTAGTTCTTCTTTTTTTTCTTTTTTTTTTTTTGGTGTCAAATGGACTCTTTTTCATTATCTTTCTTCTTTTTTTTTCCTCCTCCCAAAAGGCATATTGTTTGGGATTTTCTAATACTTCATCTTTTAACGTTTCTTATTAACTAAAGGAATGTGATTCACGCTAAGTAATTGCTCTGCAGCTAATGAATTGTGACTGCTTTGTTATTTTTGTTTGTAGATCAAACCCAAAGGGCCCCCTTATATTATTAATAAAGCAACAAAGACCTAAAATGATTTATGATTTCAAAAATATAAAACTAATAAATATATTCGTTTGAAAGCCTTAGATATGCAGGGGAATGGGTCCCTTGTTTAACTGGTATTGCAAAAAACAAGAGATATGTTATGTTATGTGCTGTTATGGTTCTATGGAAGTCATACCATATGGTGCTATGGTATTGCAAAATAATTATTTTAGTTATGACTAATTACTATTTTAGTTATATCTCATGTTGTGTTTAGTTATTCTGTTTTTTTTTTTAAATTATAACTTAGAAAGTATGAAATTACGCAATTTTATTTTTTAATTATAAGATGTATATGGCACACACCTTTTAAGGGTGTGTACCACAGTTATACTATATATTAAGTAAAATGAAAGGGGAATTACATCCAATGGGATAAAAAAGTTTATTTTACACAAACATGAGGGGTACAAGAGCATTGCACTGGTATCATATTATAAAATCACTTGCACCCCACATGTTTTTATAATTTTTTTTCTCTATCTCATTGTACTATAATTTCCCCTAAAAAAAACTTTTCATCAGAAAATGCTCTATGAGCTCCAAAGTATTAATCTAAATTTATTAAAATTTTAAATTTTAAGAAATGCACATGGCATAGAAGTATTGGCCATCTAACCATATCTATAATTTTGGAATTCAAAAACTTAATATAGAAACTGAAAAAAGAAATTTAGCCATCTCTAATTTGAAATTTAAAAATCTTTAAAAGAAATTCCAAATATGAAATTAGTCTTATATAATTTCAAAATTTTAAAATATTTATTTCAAAATTTTCTATTTTTATTTTTGAAACTAAACAATTTATGTGGCATCTATAGAATTAAAAAAACAGTTAGGCATCAAAATATTTATAGCACATTTGTTAACCAAAGAGAAATTAAAACAAAAAATACGTGTGCTGCACATATTTTTTTGTCACATAAAAAATAATTGTGTTGTGCTTAAATATACATATGATTTTAACTATGCAATACTATCGATACCATAAATTGTTACAACTTGCATATGGTACACAATAGAAAAAAAAAAAAAAAAAAATTGTGTTGCAGAATTTTTTGAATAGTCATTATCTATTATAATGTGCTACCATGATATATATATAATTTAAATGAAAATGATATACAAGTCCGCTTTTTGGATTCAATGATATGTAATTAAGATAATTGAAAGATGATTAGAGAATATATGAGAGAGAATATTACCTTAGATATTCTCATTGAGTGTCATATCATTGAGTTTCAAAAGTGCGTCTAATTTTTTAAGTTGAATAGCAATGCTCAATTTAAATTTATCCATCTATGTTTACATATAGTAACTTAATTTTCACTCCATGTAGATAAAGAAGAGAAGGGTGCGATGAATCTGATTCCAGCATCGTGGAAGATACTATGGGATGCGTGGCAAGTTCAGATGCTGGTTCTACTTAGTCTCACTTTACAAATCATTCTTTTCGTCTTTGGCAAACGCAGAAAGAATATGTTGTCACAATGGACTAATGTGATGGTCTGGTTGGCCTACACAATGGCCAATTGGGTGGCAACCGTCGCCCTTGGCAAGCTCTCTCATACCCTAAATAATATTCCTAATCCCAATAATACATTACAGGCATTATGGGCACCCTTGCTTTTATTGCATCTTGGTGGCCCAGATACTATAACTGCTTATTCTTTGAATGATAATCAATTGTGGATAAGGCATTTTTTGGGCATGAGTGTTCAAGCTACTGTGGCAATTTATGTCATTGTTATGTCTTGGAGGCATTTCTGGTTTTCATATATGTTAATTCCGGCATTCATGGCTGGAATTATTAAGTATGGGGAGAGGATATGGGCTCTTAAGTTAGCATGCCATGATGAATCAAAAAACATTGTACCCTTTTATGATCTAGGAGTCCGATATGGTCTAGCAACAAAGACAAGATGTGAAATTGTTTTAATTACGGCCCACAAACTGGTGACAGAATTTAAAGATTATATGGAGAATTATGACATTCGTAGATCTTTCCGACTACGGTATACAAAATTTATGGATGTGATAAATCTGGGTGTTAATCCATATTTGGAGAATGTATTGGAGGATGAAATGAGGGATGTGATAAATCTGGGTGTTAATCCATATTTGGAGAATGTATTGGAGGATGAAATGAGGGATGTGATAAATCTGGCTGTTAATCCAGATTTTGAGAATGTATTGGAGGTTGAAATGGGGCTCATGTACGATTTGTTATATACAAAAGCACCCATAACATTTACCAAGAGAGGGTGCATTTTTCGCTCTATCAGCTTCATGTGTACGGTGTCTGTGTTGGTAGGACTCTTCCGGCTTATCGACATGGAAGCGAAGTGGCACAAGCAGCACTCCTCCATGGTTGATATTTTCATCACAGGGGTATTATTGGTCGGCGCTCTAGCTTTGGAGATTTATGCAGTCATGTTGTTATTATTCTCTGATTGGGCGATGCTTTGGCTAATTAAGTGCGGCAGAGGCAAATGGGCAATCCTATTGTTGCAGAAATTTTCTTGGTTTTTTGAAAAGAAGAAGTGGTCTAAAAAGATGTGGCAAATCGATGTAATGGAAAAGGAAGACAAGCATAAAAAATGGAGTAGAATAGTTGGGAGGTTGGGGATTCAAGACAAGTTCTATAGGTACATGCATTCGACTAGTGTGTGTATCCCTTCGACGCTATACCCCAGGATTTTTCAATTTATTTGTAGTGCCTCAGCTACAGACAACCTTCTTGACTTTGGGTGGCTTGAGGGGGTTATTGGCTCTACACCTTTTCATGAGCTAGTTTTTATCATGCACATCATAACAGATATGTGTCACCGTTATGATGAGTCAGAGTCAGAGTCAGATTTAGAGTCGGTTGCATGCACTTCCGAAAATAGTGAAAATAGTGCTAACTCATGTGGACATGATGGTGACAAGGAAACATGCAAAACTCTATCAAATTACATGACGTATCTACTCCTCACCTCCCGTTGGTTGTTGCCTGTTGTTGTAAAGGATAGTCAGTTTATACGTGTCATGAACGATGCCAAATTGTTTTCCAGGTATATTAATGAACAAGTTACAGGAGGACGCATGTTTCCCATGGATATGGAAAGAATCGAAGAGCTGGCAGCTACTCGTGATGAAGAAGGACGCAAAATGGAAAAAATTGAAGAGACGTCTGTATTACTTGAGGGAATATTTTATGACCTCATCGATGAAGGTAATAAGGAGGTGAAATGGGAAAAATTGAAAAATGTGTGGTTGGTGATGTTATGCTACGCTGCAATTAGTTGTCCAAAAAATTACCATCTTCAACGGCTTAGAGAAGGAGGCGAGCTCCTCAATTTTGTTTGGTTCCTTATACCGCATGCTCATATATTTTTCAGAGTCGACACCTTCAAGCTACACAGATTCTTCAGTCAGTGTTTTCAACAAGGGACGCAAGTCTGAAGGGCGAGGCCACTATATAACCAAGGCTCCTAAAAAAAAGAAGTTTATTTGTATTGGTAATATTTTATTTTGTTTATTTTGGTTGTTTTTAAAAATTAAAAGATACCATTAAATTTTAAAAAAATGTTCAATACAATAGTAATATTATATTATTGGTATCTCATCCAATAATATCTTGTCATTTATCTTCTCATGTATATATCGTAATATAGTTATATTTTGAGCAGGTTCACCCTCTACATGTAAGTTTGTTAGTAGATAATATCACGTGTCAATGGTGGAACGGTATCATAGTGACACGTCAGATTTTTACCCACACAATTATATTATTGGTATCTCATCCAATAATATCTTGTCATTTATCTTCTCATGTATATATCGTAATATAGTTATATTTTGAGCAGGTTCACCCTCTACATGTAAGTTTGTTAGTAGATACTATCACGTGTCAATGGTGGAACGATATCATCGTGACACATAATTTTTACTCTATTTAGTAAACAGTTTTCAAAAATAATTTTTACTCTGCATGTAAGTTTGTGGTGAATTTTTTTAAACATTTTAAGCAGATTTTTTTTCTTTCTTTCTTTTTAGATTCACTTAATTTAGTTATACTTAAAAGTAAAAATATTTGTGATTTTTTTTATATAAAAAATTGCTAAATATAAAAAAAAAAATCCAGTACATATCATATTTCACAAAAAAAAATATACACATATATATATATATATATATTTTTAGGTGCATCTAAAAAAAATTACTAATATATATATATATATATATAATTCACTAAGACTGACAAAACAAAAATAAAATTAAAAAAAAAAAACAAACAAACAAAACAAAAAATAAAAAACTACTTTTAAAACTTTAGAACCAAACGCAATAGATGTTATTTAGTTTAAAAGTTGTTTTTTGTTTTTAAAATTTGTAAAACTTAAATTTATAAAGGGATCTCATTCATTGAAGTTGCTGAAGTTGCCAGTCTTGTCTAATCCCTAGCATTAGTAATTTGTAGAGGTGGCAAATGGGCGGGTTAAAGCAGGTTAGGTAATAACATAATTCAACCCAATCTGCCCAGTTATTGGTTGGATTTAAATGGATTGGGTTAAATTGATTGTGAGTTGGACAAATCAATCCGACTAACACGTTTACTTTAATAAACTTATTTTCTAATAGATTCAAATTTTAAAAATAATATAATTTGGTGCCAAACAAAAAATGGCATAAATAGCTTTTAGAAAATTACATACATATATGTATTCAGTAATGGCAGTAGACAGACAAAAGCAAATAAAGAGAATTGAAGAATTAAAAGAAAGGGTCTTACCAGAAGAAATGAAGCCAAGGCAGTGCTCACCATTAGTGGGTGGCACACACATTGTATATACAATTCAAATAAGTAAAAATAAAAATAAATAATAAAGAAATTAATATTATAATATGTATGTTGTTCAAGTAGTGAGAGGTTTCTTAATGAAACAAAAGATCTTCAATTCAAACCTTTTTCAACACTGCATGTAATTTTTGTTTTTGGGATAGAAAAAAATGGCACATGACATGAGGAGAAGGCTTAGACACCAAGTTCAACCTTCACTTAATAATAATATGGATATAGATATAGATAGAAGATACATGATAGATGTGTATATCTTCTATTTATATTATTATTATTAAAGGTTAACAGCTCACTTGATTTTATGAATCTCTCTCTCTTTTTACCAAGTAGTATTCTCTCAATACGTCAAGTATCAATTGTTCTATTTAAAAAAAAAAAGACCAAGAAGTATTGATTGATATAATAAAGAATACTTTCACCGCTTAAACAATATTAAAAATATGTATTAAATTCAAAATTAAAATTTATATTTTAAACACACCCATCAACTACATCCCTAGTATCTATAGATTCATGCAAATAGAGCTAGAAGTAGTTGAAAAAAACAATTCAAAAATCTAAGTTAGATAAATATTGTTCAAAGAGTTTTATTACCAAACACATTATATCGAAATATCAGGAGCAAACTATTTAAAAAATTAGAGAGAGAGATTTTTAAATGTGCAACATATCTAATTATTTGGTTTCAATTTTATAATTAATTTTTGAAATATTTTTTGAAAATTAAAATTAATTTGATAAATTTGAAATCAAAAAAATATTTTTACCCCCAAAAAACTAAAATTATATGAAAATGATAAGTGGTTTAATTAATTTTTTCACTAAATTAGTATTTAGTTTTTTCCAATTTTTTTCTTTAAAAAAAAGAGAGGTTTTAAAAATGATATCAAACTTATATGTGTTTGAGTTTATTATAAATATTAAATATACTAAAATATTATGTCAATTACATAATATTTTAATTTTGTGAAGTGGTTTTTCTAGCATAAGATTGAAGGGTTGTTTGGGGTGTCATAAATAAGTGTGCTTTTTATCTTTTTGGACTAAAAAATTGAGGAAGAAAATATAGATGTTTGGGTTAATTTTTTGACTTTTTTATGGAAAAAAGTATAATAAAAAATTATAAAAATTAATTTGTAAGAGAAAATTAGGATTGAGAGTTATGTAGCCGTAATTGTTGACCGAATAGTGTTAACATTTTAACTTTTTGAGCAACTTTTTGACTTTTTAACTTTTCCTAAACATGTCAAACTTGACCTTAGTCTAACATCCCTTTTCAACTTTTAGTAATGACAAAAGTTTACAATATATATATTTTTTTTTTCTAACTGTTCCTCACCCATTTATGAGTATGTATCTCTCATTCACTATCCTCTCTCATTTGAACTCCTTCAATGGCGGCTCCCATAAAAAATCGTGGGGTGTGGGCTTCGTCGGAACCCATGTCTCGGATAAAAAATCGAGAGGTGTGTGTTTCTCGGCATGTGCAATATAAGATGAATTAGCACTACCTTGGTTATTCATCGAAGTTCCATTTTGTTCATCGTTCAGATCAAAGGATGGCCCAGATTGAAGTCCGTTCCCATGATCAGGAAAAGGGAAGAACCAAGGGCATGGCATGATGAACAAGGGAGTTCCTGGATCGTTAATATTTTGGGGATTTTCTTGTTCATGAAATGAATCGGCTTTGGCAATGGCTGGCATGGGAACACAATTTTCTCTTCGTCAAAACCTAGAGAAAATTTAAAAACACATAGAAAATCAAAGAATTGAGTAAATCATAGAAATTTTAAAACACAAAATTTTATATGAAATGTTTTTATATTTTGAAATTTTTCTTGATCCAAATTTTTCTATATCTAAATTTTTCTAAAAAAAATTGAAGAATCTTAACTATTATGAAAATATTATATATCTTTTATCTTATAAAATTTTAATACCAGATATCTTAAAAAAATTTCCCCCTTTTAAATTTGGTTTGGTAATTGCCTTTTATATTATAAATTTTTGTATATCTTTTAAAAAAATCAGTGGTTTATTTTTGTTTAATTTTTTTAAAGAGTCTTGTTAACAAAGGCTTCAGAGGCATAAAAAAAATATATAAAAATAAATAAATAAATAAGACCAAAAAAATGTTGAACCGAAAATACTTCACTCATTTTTAAACATTTTATTATTTTTTTCACCATTTTCAATTTTTTGCACTAATCCCAACATTAAACCATGCATACGAGCACTTGTTTTTTAGCATTTGTTTTTTTCAAAAAATAAATCACTTTATTTGGTTTGGAGTTTCAAAAATAATTTTCTATATTTTGAATTCATATTTTTTTGGTAATTTTTTTTTATTTTTTAAATTCTCTTAATCTAGATACACATCAAAGGTGTAAAATTAGTATAAAATATTAAACAAGGGTGCTCGAGCCAAATATTCATATTCAAATTCAAATTTTCTTTGTCCGTAGGTCCAAACACTAAAACATTGTCCATAAAGACAAGCTAGTGGAAATTTCTTTGAACTGTTATTTGTAGTCTAGAAAAAATTATAATTTATTATTATATTTCAGAAAAAAATTATAATTTTATATTTACATATTATTATGAGTTTGTTATTTTTATTTTTTATTTTTATCTGGATTAGATATATGGATTGAAAAATTAATTGAATAATTTGCTCAGTGATTTTTTTTGTGTTTTTGTTTGATAATTAACATTTTGTGTTTTTGATGTAAATGTGTTTTTGTTTTTGTAATCTTCAAAGTGAATTTAAGTTTGGAAATTCTAGTTGCCTCTTCGACTTGGACTTGGACTTTCTGTTTTGTTTGTGATGTTTCTAGTGTTTTGCTGTTGCCTTTAGAAATTTTCAAAAAATCGAGAAAATTACACGCACAAGCATACAACTAGATAGAGAAAATCAAGACAGCCACAAAAAGTAATTAGACTCTACTATGGTTAGAGAAAATGCAAATGACAAGTAAAATTCAACACAAGGAGACAACAAACTAGTGAAAATCAAACAAGCAACATAAATTAGTGGGAGTGCCTGTGCTGACATCAGGCGGCGTGGGTAGAACTAATGTGACATAATGACGCGTGACAAGTACGACCAATCGGGTAGTGACACGTGGATGAAATGGTGGGGACAATGGTGCGTGACAGCTCATGGGTAGTTGGGATTCTTGGAATTCTTGAATTAATGAGGTAATGACCTCAGCTAGTAATGCGATCTCAGTTGAGAAGATGAAAGAATGAGGTTCTTAATGAGTGGACGCTTAAGTCTTGGTTATTTGAAGCCGACGAGTCATGATCTCAGTCAGAAGAGTATCTCTGGCATGTTGTTTTGCCAACATGATGGGAGATCAGACGATATAGGTTTCATCACCTCAGGTTGCTGAGGTAATAGAACTTAGGGGGCAGTTGTAGGGATATATTTTGAAGTCTTGCCACGTGGCCAAGGTTTAGCCAAGGTGTCACTGTAGACCACCCGAACTTGCTCCGCGCGTGAGGTCTCGAATTGGGTTCATAGCTACTACAGCTCGGACTCCTGTCACGGTTCTGAATCTAATCTCACAAAATGAAATGTAAGAGTGACAAATCACCAGAGAGTCCAAATCCGACAAATCGTTTTGGAAAGTCAAATTTAATCAAGAAGTGCCAAATATGGACTGCTTTGCCAGATTTCAGAGTCGCCACCTAAATATTTTATTTTGGGGAATTTAGGAAACCCTAACTCGTGCCTAAGGCCACATGTCCGTCATCACCAAAGTTGCCTCGACTCGGGAACTTGGGTACGAGAGGGAAAGGTCCTGAAATGAGCAACCCCGCTCGCCCGAT